GGTGGAGTCTAGTGTATCAAAAGAGCATTCTAGTTTGGAGAAGGGAAGTGGATGAGTGTTAAGGAGCTTACCTACAGCTCTAAAGGAGCTTTGATATATAGCCAGGCACCAGTGGCTCACGCCTGTAATCCTAACTACTCAAGAGGCTGAGATCTGAGGATCGCTGTGCAAAGCCAGCCCGGGCAAGAAAATCTGTGAGACTCTTATCTCCAATTAACCACCAGAAAACCAGAAGTGATGCTGTGGCTCAAGTGGTAGAGTGCAAGCTGAAGAGTTTGAGGGACAGCACCCAGGCCCAGAGTTCAAGACCTGCGACTGACCAAAAAAAAAGATAATAAATAAGAAATGAATCTATAGTAAATGTTGTAAAATCTTTATATAAAATAGATATAGAATATCTATCCCAATAACTATAGAATGTCTAGTTATTTATATCTATAATATCTATATCTATCTATCTAGATAGATACATAGCCCAGCCATAAGTGAAAAGCCAAGCAAGAACACAGGAACTGGGTTCAAGCACTGATACCAGCACATGCACACATATTCACACACAAAAAGAATGCAAATAATTTAGTATAAATCAATAAAACAATGAATATGAGGTTTCTTGACATGAAATAATCTTAGATTATCCAGCTGTCTTCTGAATAGATAGATTGCAACAATGACATGTACAAGACGTTATGTCGAAAAACAAACTTTACAACTTTGGTGGGGGTCGGGGGTAAGGAGATTGGAAGGGAAACAAAGGAAGAGACAACAATGAAATACAAATATATATATATATTACTGCAAATATCTTTCTGGAAAAAAATTTGATTCTTAATCTTTTGTGCATTAGATTAATTTGAGGGGCAACTAAATAAGCTCATCAAAAAACACAGAAAGGCTTTTAACCTCACCTAGGGACATGTAAATTAAAACATGATCCAGGTCTGTGACAATGATTACAATTTAAAATGTGATATTCTACAGTAAAGCATGAAGCCACTGTAATTCTCATCATTATGGATGTAAATGTGAAGTATTACAGCCACTCTGTAAAGTTCAACATACATTTACCATATAACCATATAACAGCTCCAGTATTGCTATTTACACTAGAGAAATGAAATTATATTCTCTCAGTCTTCCTTTTTCTCTGTTGCACATGCATGTGAACACACACAGAAACATATGTATCCTAGAAACTTGGCTTATGAATACCCAAATTGGAAGTAATCCAAATTCCAGTCAATTTGAAATTAGATTACCGAACTGTGATATAGCCATCCATACCAATGAGTGCTACTCAATAATAGAAAGGAATGAAACACCAATGTATTCAGAAACTTGGGTGGGTCTTAAAGACATTTCAGCAATTTAAGCTGTGTGAAAGAAACTGGTCCAAAAAGCTTATACATTATTAGATTCAATTTATATAGTATCCTTCTTTTTTCCCTCTCTTTCTCTCTACCTCTTTCTTTGAGAGACTAGGAAGAGTGGGGGGATTAGAGATCTAACCCAGGGCTTTATACATGCTTGGCAAGTGTTCTATACTGAGCTACTTCCCTCCCTCCCAGACCTATGTAACAGTTTTGATATGACAAAAAATAAAAGGTTAAAGATGAGTGCTTGTTATAAAGAAATAGCACAGGGTTATCTGGTTGTTGATGGTTTGTTTGATTTGTGGGGGAGGGTTGATATGTTTTCATTTCAGTATGAAGCATCTGTTTGATATCCTGGCAATAGTTTCAAACTTGATAAATATTTATAAATATTTAAAACCATAATATAAATAGTGAAAATAGTTAATTTTGTTATATGATAATTTAAGTCTATGGTTTTTGTGTATATCCCTTAAGCCTCATCCCAAAGATTGTAGTGTACTTATATTATGAACTAGACCAGACTAGAAATGTGATATTCAGATTCAAAGATAATTAAGAAAAATCAACAAGATTGTGGTCACAGTCACATATCTGTAAACAATACACAAAATAGAAATAAATGCCTGTTAAGTGCTTCTTAATTTCTCACAAAGACCATGTCTACACAAAATCTTGGTGTCCATAGCATCTGGTTGCATGTCAGCCTACCTCGTCACCACTGTATCAATACTCCTGATCCACTTGCTGACTTCAGACAAAATTCTTAAGGTAGTTATAAGCTTCCTGTCTTTAATTTCTTTCTGTGTCATTATCCCAGAAGGTCCATCCCCATATAAAATAATATTCCAATGTATGTGGTCCACAGAGGGCAACCATTTGAGCAATGTGAAATCACAGGACAGCTCTAGACAATAGTTTTTAGTTTGTTCTCTTATTGTCTCCAGGTGTCTACTCTTGAACATTAAAGAAGAAATATTAATTTGTAATTAATTTCTTAGCAAATATTCCATAATAGACTTTATGCTAAAGTTTTCTTGTATTCATAAAAGTTGCTTTAAGCAGACCAGCAGTATTGTATATGGTCTAAACAAATTAAGACAAACACAGTATGATCCAAATGCAGGCACTTGTTCAGTGTACTGAAAAATGATTTTACAGGCTGATTACAGTGTACAAAAGTAAAATAAGAATGCACTTTTTGAAACTTGAAGAAGACAATCATTAAGTATGTGTTTTTGTTGTGGATTCTAATAAGCTTGGAAGTGGCACTGTGGCTTGAGCAGTAGAGCTCTGGCCTTGAGATGAAGAGCGCAGAAACAGCACCGGAGCCCAGAGTTCAAGCCCCACAGCTGACAAAAAAAAAAAAAAAGTGACAACTATAATAAGCTCAAAATAAAAGCATTGCTATTTATCTGTTTGGCCACTAGATGGGGGAGTTTGCTAATCTATTATAGTTTTGTAATTGTACATTTCATGAAGTACTGTTTTCTTATAGCACTTTCTAGTTAGCTATTTTTAATTTAGTAATTTGAAGTTGTGACTTAAGCTATGCATTGGTGGCTCATACCTGTAATCCTAGCTAGTCAGGAGGCTGAGATCTGAGGATTGCAGTTTGAAGCCAGACTGGGAAGGAAAGTTAGTGAGACTCTTATCTCCAGTTAACAACCAAAAATGCGGAAGCGTAACTGTGGCTCAAGTGTTATAGTGCTAGTCTTAAGCACAAAAAGCTCAGGTACAGCATCCAGGCCCTGAGTTCAAATCCCAGGATTGGCATACAAAAAAAGTGTGTCATTCTGGCAATCTGGATTAGAACTCTAGTTTCTTGAAAATCTCATTCCTTGCCAATATAATATTTATTTTAAAAATGAATAAAAACTTTAAAAACTCTTAAATTGTTGAGGGTTTTCAGCAATAGATATATAGAAAGAGATAGAAAATAAAAGCTTTGACTACAGAAACATTTTATATGTTAATCTATAATATTTAATTTTGCAGAATTTTTTTCTAATATATAATAGGTACCAGCGAATTTTCAGTAAGATCTGCTATGACACTTAACACATATTGCAGATAAGTGTACCAAATCACATGTCTGCACTCAGGTAAAACCAAAGAACATATACCTGAACAAATGCATTTCATAAATAACTATATATATAAATATATATACATATATATGTATATATATATAATATATAATTATTTGTCTTTTACTATCCATTGGATTTACTTGTAATTTTAATACATATTCTAGTTATTACAAATGAGGGTAAACATACAGCCTATGTTTCTTTGGGTCTAGCTTCCTTTGCTTATTATAATTTTTCCAAGTCTTCCCATTTCCTTTTGAATGGGGTACTATTCTTTCTGATGGAAGCATAGAATTATATTGTGTGTATATAATTATGTAATATATAATTGTGTATATATAAACAGCACTGTAAGCATTCACACAGTGAGAACAAAGGAGGATATTATTAGGAGAGGATCACAGTGGCTCCAAAGCTATGTGCATATGACCATATAAAACAAAGCTATCAAAATTCCAAGAAATGGAAAAAAAACAAAAGGTTTTTATTGTACGGTTTGCAGTCTTTTTTCTTCCACACCCTCCCCCACTTGGTCTATTCCTTTTCATCACTGGTTTGTATTTTTATGCTTTGTCTTGTAGATAAGTTTATCTGATTTGGGTAGGGAAAGGGGAATCAAATAGTGGGACAAAGGGTAAACCAATTCAGCTGTGATACTCAGAAGACACTGTTAGAAATGATTTATACAACTTGGGAGGGAAGAGGGGCTTAGGAGGGGAAAAAGTGGAAGAAAATAAGAGAGAGGATAGCACTGTTGAAAAAGAACTATACTGATTACTTGACCTATGTAACTGTCATCCCTCTTTATATCACTTTTACAACAAAATTTAAATTAAAAAGAAAAGACATGATCAGTATGTTCCCATCAAAATCTCCATGAACACCACCTGAGGTGAAGAGTGTTGGCTCATTAGAATGAGGAAAGGCCAAAGAGAACCATAGGGTATCTCAGTAAAAACAAAAGGGAAAGTCTCCCAGTTAAATATTATAGTTGGTAGTGTGAAATTAGAGATGGTAAAATTAGGCCAATGTGTGAAATTAAAGATAGGGTTATTTTTTTATAGCCATTCCTCTTAAAGTCCTGACACACTAAGGGTGTTGGAGGTTTGGAAGAGATGGATGAGAATTGATTAAGATGGATTGTCTCATATGCTGACCTGTTGAATTAAACCCATCTGTTCAACTACTTAAAGATTTTTTTTAAAGTTTATGACACACATTTATGGTTATTTCTAGGGTAATATTTTTGGAAAGGTAAGAAGCAGGTAATATTGATTGATTGATTGATTGATTGATTGCAAGAAGGGGCAACTAAATGGAGAGAAGCTGTTCACTTTGATTCTAATTTTGCATCATGTTTTGTTATTGTCTACTTTTAGGATAGATAACAGAAAACTTTTAAATGTGTTTTATATAAAACATAAACTAAGAATCATATCTTAAAAATAACTATATTAATTTAACAGATATGTTAAATAATAATTATTTTTACATACTAAATAATACTTTTATGTTTTATTAATGCCTACTCTAGGTACAGAAGTCAAGAAATAAGCAAGTTCGAGAATTATTCCCAGATGGTTTTAGTATTCATCATGCAGGAATGCTTCGGCAGGACAGAAATTTAGTTGAAAACTTGTTTTCTAATGGGCATATAAAAGTCCTGGTCTGTACTGCCACGTTAGCCTGGGGTGTCAATCTTCCTGCTCATGCTGTTATTATTAAGGTAGGGGCTTACTTTCCTTTGCACATGGATTTGTGTGTGTGTTTTAAAAGAAACCACTGGATTGATTTCTTTAGAAAAATACTTTGGTATGGTTGGTTTCATTGACTTTAAATGTTATCTTTATGCAGGACCAGAATTATTTTCCTCAGTAAAAATCCAGTTTATATTGAGAAATTTAACTCTATCACAGATGATGAAGGGATTAGTTAAAGTACACTTTTGAGATCTTGCCATATTTGCCCAATTTCACTATTCAGCACTTCAGGATTATATTTGTGTGTATTTATGTAAATTTTATTAACTTTTTCTCATCTAGGGAACACAAATATATGCTGCAAAAAGAGGCTCCTTTGTTGACCTTGGAATTTTAGATGTCATGCAGATATTTGGCCGAGCTGGACGACCACAATTTGACAAATTTGGAGAAGGAATCATTATAACAACACATGATAAACTCAGCCATTACCTGACTTTGCTCACTCAACAAAACCCAATTGAGAGTCAGTTTCTGGAAAGCCTTGCAGATAACCTAAATGCAGAGGTAAGTTCTCATGAGTAAAAGGTCAAAATAGAATCATAAAATAAAATTTGAATTGGTTGCCGTTTTACAGCATTTAGGAATGCATTGTATTTCATGCATAAAAGAAACTGGTCTGTCATTATGGTTGGTTAATTCTCAGCAGGATAAATGTTGATGCGAAGACCAACAAGACCTCATCTCTTTAATGATATTTTTAATCTATGAGGTTTTGTTATAAACCAAAATCCAACCCAGATAATACAAATGAGGAAAACAGCAATAATGGTAATGAATATCTTTATTTCACTTTTATAAAGTTTTAAGTGAAGTCTTAAAGACTTACAAGGTTCATATAGCTCCTTTACAGTAAGTCATTTGAATATCTTAACTACATAAATTATGATTTCTTTTTTGTTTAATAATTTTTAATTGAGATTAAATGATTACATAAATTTCACAGCATTGTGGGATAGTGATACTTTAAAGTCACAAGTACATTTTAATCTTCACGAGGAGCATTGTCATTAAACTATGATTTCTTAAATTGGGCTAGAGTATAATTTGTGTATGTGTGTGTGTGTGTGTGTGTGTGTGTGTGTGTGACTTTAAGATTTAAATAACGTATCTCAGAAGCCAAGGTGGCATCTTAACTGGTTAAGAAAATAAACATTTTTGTAATTTAAAGTATATATATCATTCAAATGAAGTTTCATTGTTTTCATGACATTTTATTTATCATTCTGTATTTTACAACTTTCAAATCCTTTCGTTAATGTTGACTTAATTTTTGAAATTAAGTAGAATATAAACCTGAAGTAAGTATATATAATATTTACAATTATATCCTACTTACAGTATGCAAGTCCTATATCAAGTTACTTCTTTTTTTCTTTTTTCTTCTTTTTTTTCTTGCCAGTCATGAGGCCAGAACTCAGGGCCTGGGCGCAGTCCCTCAGCTCTTCAGCTCAAGGCTAGCACTCTATCATTTGAGCCACAGCGCCACTTCCAGCATTTTCTGCTTATGTGGTGCAGAGGAATTGAACCCAGGGCCTCATGCACACGAGGCAAGCACTCTTACCACTGAGCCACCTTCCCAGCCATATCAAGTACTTCTTAAACAGCTTATAGAGATTTCACTTATGTCTTTTTAGAGAACAACAACAAAAGGCACTCACAATGCACTTCTTCTGCTAACAAACACATAATCCAAAAGGGAAGACAAAGACACACAGATGCAGTACAGTGATTTTGGGAAATAATGTGTAATTTCTACAGAAGCATCCAGCAGAAGGATAAGATACATTTGGCTCCCCACTGTCAGGACAAGAAAGGTTACTCCCCAGCACAGGTCTGCCCTGAAAAGCTATTCCTCACTTCACTTGCCAAGTGCAAATTGTTGCATTCATAAAATAAGGATACTCTCCCTGGATTGTTCTGAAAATATCTGTGCCCAATTAGTGCAAAGCTATGGTATTGCATCACTTGCTGTGATATTTCCTCAGCTCATTCATCCTCACAGCCTACATTGAAATCTTAATTGGATAAATAAATGCTTTCCATATATCCCCTATAACAATTTTTATATAAATATACATAGCCATATACTTATTTGTACTACATACTTATGATTATAAATTTACTTAGTTTCTTTTTACAGGTTTTCAGCCACTTTATATACAACATAAATAAACAAGAAAACCTTAAGTTTGGATAGATGAGTTAGATATGAATTGATACTTTAGTTGTATTTCTAACTCGAATTGTGTTTCTAACTCATAAAATTTGGAGGATATTTTATATTCTTTAATACAGCATAAAGCCACTTTTGTGTCATGAGTTTTCTTTGAAACCATTTAAATACGCATTCCATGCTAGGCCCTATAGCTACTGGGTTCATACACATCATCTTAATTGGTTTCATGTTTCACTTCCATGACTAAGAGTCTTATTTAGGCCAGAGACCACTCTGGGATCATTATCATATACATTGGATTTTATGTGGTATGTAGACTTAGAGCTGACTTGCTATACGGTTATTGACAATAAATTTCACATATATCATGGAAAAAATACTTTTTTTTATAAAAGGTTCCTGTGTTAAGTAACCACTAGGTGACAGCAGATATTTACAATGAAATTTTGGGTTTTTTTGTCACTAGATGGCATTCAAGGATTAGTCTCAAAATAAATCATGCCATCATAAATTTACATTTATTTTTTCTGGATAATTTTCTCTCTTCAAGGATGATTAGAAGACTTTCATTACTTGATCTAATCTTTGGTACTGCTTCCTTCTTTCTTTTAATTCTATTCCTGGTAGCAGTGGGTAATATTTAACTTAGCCAACATTGATTTTGAAAATTAGAGCAAGTTGAATGAAGAGGCAAAGGGGGAAAGTGTAGACAAAAATCCAGTGTATATCTTAAAAAATTAAGAAGAGCGAAGGGAGGAATGGGTGAGAATATTGAACGAAGTGACATTGATCAAGATATATTGTATTCATGAACTGCTTTGTTAAATGGAAACTCCTTTGTACAACTACTTAAAGATAATAATAAAAATAAAATGAGCCAAAACTGTAGGGGAAAAAAACCTGTATTTAATTGGCTAATTGCTATGCAAAACTTAAAAAGTAGAACAACCTTACTTTATCCTTTAAATTCTTTTCTAACCTTTGAAACTGTGTGACATTATTTTTAAATAATGATGAAGTCAGAGAATACAGATCACTACAAAAATTACAGCATAAGATCGTAAGGGAATAAAGATCTAACATTTCATATACACATAACAATTTTTTTTCACATACTAGATTAGCACATAGGAAAAATTTAGATTTTTAGCTATTTTGTCAAACTATTTTCATATACCTAAACAGAATAGAAGTTGTTTAACTCTCCTGTCTATATATTTTTAGGAATTGTTACACAACTGCTAAATCGTCTCAAGTCTGATTCTTGCTGCTCTTCATTTTGTAGAAAATTTATTATATTTTAGTAAATTTACACATTTACTTCTATTTTGGATGGCTTACTCATTTGTAAATAAAACAAGTAGAAATTTAGGATTAAGTAGAATCTTGTGTCTTTTCTTAAACATTGGTCTTTTGTCTTTAAATAATAAATACTATAATACAATATAATGATAATTATATGTTGCTCTGTATCTTTAGTTTTTCACTGAGCTACATCCCGGCTGCTCTGTCTCATCTTAATTTTCACAGATGGATTATTGTTTGTTTTTATCTTCTCTTGGTTTGGTTTGGATATTTTGGGTTCTAGAGATTGAACCCAGGAGTTGAAACCATATTAAGCACAAACTCTACCACTGAGCTATAACCCCAGCTCATCTGCAGTTCACATATTTCATAATGTTAATTACATAAAACTTGAAATTTAGAGCAACTAAAGTAGCTATAAAGATTTTTATTTACTTTCATACTAGTATTTATGGCATTTTTCTTCCTTTTTTCTCCTTAAATTCAAACATCTTTTTTCTTTGCTAAAAACAGTGGACAATGCATTCTTCATTCGAGAGTCCAGGAAGAAAAATACATCTATCAGGTCTCACAAATTTGAATATATAAAGCAGGACAAACATGTTTACTGAAAGATATTTACTATTTTCTATAGATCCATTGGCTAATAAAGCACCTCATTAAAATTAATATTATTGTCCAATAATTCTTCTATTACACAGTTATCTATTACTATTTTAAATCATTATCCTTTTGTTTTATTTAATATATTACCAGGCTGCATGAAAATGCTATACTGAACTTTGCATTTCTTTTCCGGATTTAATCTAAGGAATCATCTAGTGCTTATCGTAGTTTAAATATACAAATACCTGATTACAATTGTTCTGTAGCAGGACTTTTTTAAGACATGTATAGTAACACATATAAATATCAGTAAAGTCTATCTTGTTTCTATATAGAAATATTGCATTTTTCATTGTATTTATACTATCAATCCTATAAATGTATCTTTAGAGGCAAAAGACAATGTATCTACTGGTATTTTGGCAATAACCAGGTATAGAATCAGACTAAAGAAGGGTAAAAATACTGATATTTTGTTAGCTTTATTCTAGTACACTTTAAGATTTTAAACTTTCAGTAAAATTAAATTAAATGAATGAAATGATAGAAAAACAAAAAAAACTGACATTCCAAGAATGTGCTTAAAGCTTTGTAGAATTAGACTTTATATAGGGAAAAATAATTAGGTACCATAATTTTTCAAAGTTCAGTTTTGAAAGATGGTATTTCTAAGATGTTATTTTCAGTTATGCAAGACAGAACTGATTTTAATTAGAGAAGTAAAAACTTGTGACAAAGTGATCTTTGCTGTAATGTTCATGTTTGCCTATAACACATTAATTTCTGTATTTCTGATTTGCAGATTGCTCTGGGAACAGTCACTAATGTGGAAGAGGCAGTGAAGTGGATAAGTTACACTTACCTCTATGTGCGGATGAGAGCAAATCCATTAGTATATGGCATCAGTCACAAAGCTTATCAGGTAGAAAACTCATTTATTAAAAGAAAAACAACTCAACCTATATTTTGGGTTTTGTAATCTTTTCGTGATGTGAAGATAAATATTTGCTACTGTTGCCTCATCTGAAAAGAGTTAGACACTGGGATGAAAAATAAAGATATTTAATCATGTTTAGAAAACACTAAGGAAAAATAAATTGGCCCCCTGTAATTATTTTACTTATTTAATCTCTTTTCCCATAGATACTAATAAGGTCATATGTATTTTATTATCCACATTTTCACATATATTTCTATTTAATATGCTTTGACTTTTTTAACTATGGTAAATACAATGTTAGAATAAACCAGATATTAAGAAAGAAACAAACAATTTTTGATTATAGTCTTAATGTTACATAAAATCTGTTATCAGGTCCTTTTTCATTCCTTATTTTGAAACTGAAGTAGGCATTAATGAGTTATTATCTTAACAGTTTAGAGGTTGAGATTAGTTTCAGGATTGAGTGCAGATGCATAGACTGAGAATTAGATCCACATGATCATCACTCTTTCTACAAACTTTGTAGTTGTTTTGGCCCATGTGGCTTACAGATTCTGTATGATCTGTCTTTCCTTTAGGTCTCTGCCTATATACTGTAAATGCTTCCTAATTACAGATAAAATCTGGTTTTGCCTTAATGAGAACACTATTTCACCACCAGCCTGTGGATAGTCTCTTGTGTTAGATCAAAATTATTGATACTAACTCAAAATTATAATTTTTTCCATTTAATGTTAACATATATGTTGTGTGTTATCAGAGCAATTGCCAATCTTTTTGTGGTTTCCTTTTTCCTTTTTCTAGCAGTAGATTTCACCATGGGAAAAATTTAAACCAATCAAAGCTTAGGGCTGAAAAAATAGAAATATCAGTTATAACTAGTTTTGAGGCTTATAACCTAAAATCATCACATTCATATAGATAGGGTTTAGCTACAATCTTCTCAATTGAAATCTTTGCTAGTCTTCAAATGGATATATTATTTTATAGCCCAAATAATCTGTTATGAAACATAGGTGCATGATATCCAATAACCTTACCTGTTTTAAAGTCTCATGTTGAATATACTCATTAAAAAAATATGGACATTGTGCTAGGAAGGTGGCTCAGTGGTAGAGCGCTTGCCTTGCATGCCTGAGGTCCTGGGTTCGATTCCTCAGCACCACATAAGCAAAAGGAAAAAAGCCAGAAGTGGCTCTGTGGCTCAAGTGGTAGAACTCTAGCCTTGAGCTGAAGAGCTGAGAGACAGCGCCCAGGCCCAGAGTTCAGGCCCCCAACCGGACCCCCCCCCAAAAAAATATATATATATATGGATATTGTTAGTAAAAAAATATTCTCAAAGGGTTACAGAAAAATAAAATACAACATATGTTTTCATGTACTCAGTCATCTAAATCTTGGAATAAAATAAACATCATATTACTGTTTAACATTAGGTTATTCTCAGGAGTCAATTTTATGTAGCTCAACGGTACAGAGAAAGTGTTTTGTGCTATTTCCCAATATAAAGTGATTTATTTTTCTTTTAGTGTACATAGATTTACTACCTTTACAATTGAGAATATTTGTTTTTCTATCTTTCTGTCTATTGATCTGTTGATCTTGAGAAAGGCTCTTCCCATGCAGCGCAGGCTAATCTTAAACAAAATCTTCCTGCTTCAGCCTCTCAAGTGCCGAGATTATGGATGTGCCTTCGATGTCCAAACAAAACTGTTTGGATTTTATCAATTTATCAAAAGTCTTATGAATGAACACAGATCCAGTACTTTAACATTAATAGGTTTGTAATTTATAATTTTAAAAAATGTTTTTCAAAACAAAACCTGATACAAACAGGGTATCACATAAATATTTTTAAGTTTATATTTGTTGATATTATTCTCAAAGTCACATTTCTGATTTTTCAAATATTTTAGCTTTTATAAAATAAATGACAAAATGTGTTAACAATAGATTTCTAAAGTGTTTTGTGTTTTATTTACTCATCATCAAAGGACCTATTTTATCTATTTTACCATATTGCTCATAACTAGAAATTAGTCTTAAAGATTTGGCACATGTATACTCATGGGAGTATATGTCTGTACATAATATTTTTACATACACATAGTTCATGGCAACAAGAATATTTATTATAAGTTATATGAAGAATTATAATTTCTTATTAGAAATAGATTAATACAAATAATAGTTTAAAAATTATACAAAACTTCATTAACAACTTCATCTTACTTTTTATTTCTAGTTTTATTGTAGGAAAAATTTATTTTTTCAGTAGCAATTATGAAAGTATTAGAACAATAGAATTATTCTTTGAAATGGATATCTTTGTATTTCTTGTATGCATCTTGAGTTGTGAGGAAAAAACCTTGTTGACATCACTTCTACAATTGCCTAATAAAATATGAGTGTAGTTTAATTATTTAAAATCCTTGTTTAGTTTAACAGCGTGTTTCTTTCTTTTTCTCTCCCTTTCTCTCCATCTTCCTCTCTGCCTCTTTCTGTTCCTCTATGGTACTGGAACTTTGAACTTAGGGCTTTGAATTTACTTGGCACCTGAGCCATACTTTCAGCCCAACTTTTTACTGATTATTTTAGAGTAGGAATCTGGCAGATTTTCTACCATGTTGGCCTTGAGCTACCATAGCCCAGCTGATATTTTTTTCTTGTATCTGATTTCCAATACTTACAATTTGAAATATTATAAGTCCATATGAGAATTTCATAATTAAAAGTATTGGTAGCCAGGTGCCAGTGGCTTACGCCGTAATGCTAGCTACTCAAGAGGCTGAGATCTGAGGATCACGGTTCAAAGCTAGCCTGGGCAGGAAAGTCCGTCTTATCTCCAATAAACCACTAGAAAACCAGAAGTGGCACTGTGGCTCAGGCGGTAGAGTGCTCACCTTGAGCTGAAGAGCTGAGGGACAGCACCCAGGCCCAGAGTTCAAGCCCCACGACCGACAAAAAGAAAAAGAGAGATCATTGGTATCTGAAGACAATGTGAAATTGGTAATTTAGTGAATTTTTCAGATGCTCTTTTTTTTAAATTTTATATTATTTGTGAACATACTGTACAGAGGGGTTACTATTGCATGGGCAGGATAATGCGTACATTTCTTACCAAGCATTGCATCCTCCTCCTTTGTTTACCCTTCACATCCCTTCCCAGCCTCCCCCTCCCCCCCA